GGGGAAGAAGGGGGGGGGGGAGAAGGGAAGGGGAGAGAAAGAGAGTGTGAGGGAGGGAGGGAAAGCAAGAGCACAAAACATTGCTTTGTTGTTCTACTTATACATTCATTGGTTGATTCTTCTATGTGCTGTCTGGGCACATATAAGAACCCACAACCTTGTTGTATGGGGATGATACTCTAACCAACTGAGCTACCTGGCCAGGGCTCATCATCAAAGTCAATTTTAAAATTTATTTACAAGGTATTAACAATAATTTGAACTCCACAAAACTATAATTTATAGCTATTATAGTCTTATGGATTTAAAACTAAAAGATGTTTAATTTCTATACTATGTAAGCTTGTAGAGGTATGAAAGTAACAGTAGCAACAGTCATTACTTTTAATGTTAAGTGTTTAATATATAAACTTTATGAGTCTGAACCTCATTTTATAGATGAGGAATCTAGTAACAGGGACAGACAATTCATGACCATGTAAATTGCCCAAAGTCATGAAGCAAAGAAGTAACAGAGGTGGAACCTGGCACTAGTAAGGATTCTCTCTCTCCTTAGTACCAAGACCATGTTAATTATAGTTGTTCTTGGGATTAACAGCTATTCAAACCAGAAAGAATATCATCCCATGCTTTACAATTCTACTACATCTTATTTGCATTGAGTCCAAATCAAAGGTGTTAATACTTTGTCATAAATAGATATAAAGCTCAATTATCTGTTTTTTTCAGAACCAATGACAGTAGTATGAAAGTATAATTTTTATATTTAAATGTTTACTCTGAGGTTTTATGTATAATCAAGTTCAGGTTTTACTCTGAACTTGATCTATAATTGATAACAGCTGAAGTGAACGGATTCTTAAGGCATAAGTAACATTTCAAACATGAATGCAAAAAAATTAATTTTACTCTTGGGTGAAACATTTACAAAGAAATAGAAAGATAATTCATTAAGAAATTGTGTTGCTATATGTCTTTTAAACTACTCAGATTATTTAAATTATATTAGAGTTTTGATAACTAAATTTGGTACTACATCTTCATTATCTATTGTGGGAGTTAAATTTAGATATGGAAAGCAATAACTCCCTTAACAACTAATACATTTCTGGCTATCAGTAATTCACAATAGCAATTGTTTTTCTTTTCCTTTTCTCCCTAAAACTCCTCCTTAAGCATAAGAGTTAGCCGACCACATTGTTTTTTAACTCTGTGAAACTTAAGTTAGCAAATTTTAATCTCAATTTTGAATTAGAATTTTAATATTGATTTTTTTTTTAAAAATCCAAAGGTAAGCAAGAATATCTAAGAAGTCAAACTAGGAAATAGGAAATAAAGCCCTAAAAGCAATGAAAAAGAAGAAAACTCAGAACAAACAATGGAGCATCCTATGAGTAATAATCTAAAGCATCATCCAGAATACAACAACAGTACAAGGGCTTTCCGTTTTTGAAATTAGTAATAATGTAAAAGCAATTATCCCTACTCTCTTCTGTTGAGGATGGCAGAGTAGGTAGACAGTGCTCGCCTTCTCCCACAACCATTTCCTCACACCCAAGTGAATTCATGTAAAGTGCTTATCAGAGAATCTCATTCTCATTGTGCATTTATGTATTAACTATTACTATTTACAGCTGAATTGCAACTCATTTGGATATTCTCTAAAGTATTACTCATTTAATAAATCTTTACTGAATTCCATATGCCACCCATGCTCCATAGCAGGAGAATGATAAAACAAGGCAGGCATATTTTGTGCACTCATGTTACCAGTTCACAAAACTTCTAAATTTGCTATATATTCATAGCTATATCAGTCTTTTGAAGACCACCTGATTTACTTCTACTTTATAGTCATTAATGGATCCTCTTAGCTCAAAAATATCATACTCGATTTTTAAGCATTTCCTTAAAAGGTGACTTCATTTCTTCCCTCAGGTGCCCTAACCCTTCCAACCATAGGATATATACAGGACTATATTCACAAAGTGAACCTAACTTAAAAACTCAGATTCCAGGAGGGGATAAACTGAGTGACTGAGTGATCTAAGTTAAACACAAATTAATACCTTTCCATAGTAATCCCTGCTCTGGATGCACTGGATAAAATGGCAGTCAGGGCAATTTGAGAAGGTGTGTATAAAAGGTAAGCATCCGTCAGCGCAACTCTGTTAAGAAAGTCATCAGCTGTTTTCCTCAAAATCTCTGGATTCTCCAACATGGGATATCGGGTCTAGAAAGAAAGTTTGCAAGTATTATTACTTATGAGGGTTTAATGGAGTAACAACAGTTCAAAGTGCTTAACACAGCATGCTTTTATAAAAGTAACTCCTTTTCTACACCCCAGTAACAACAATCTTTCCATGTAAGATTATTTTGTACTCACCATTAGAATGTACTGAAAGTGCAGTTGTTAAATAAGAAACAAATGCTTTAAAATAATACAGCTCAAGTTCCCAGCATAGTACTTGGCTATCCTGATTTATGTTAATCCCGCTCTTTTCCTTTTCCACAAGAGGAAGTAGGGGAAAGGAGGCTCTGAGAAATTCCGCTGGGTCTGAGGCTGACCTAAGAAATACTCCGAGGTAAACACTTCCCAGGCAATCCAGGTGATTCAAATGTAAGACAACATTTAGGAGCCAAAGCACCATCTCATTTTGATTTGAAATTCTTCTACTTAATGTTTACTTTTGGGAAGAAGCAAATGTAAATAAATCTTGGTTTGATTACAGAATCATTTTTGTAATATGCCTAAGAATTATGAAAGTTCCCATATTTCCTGACAATTCTTATCATTTAAGATGAGCCCTCAATCCTTGGATTTACTGTAGATACCCACATTTAGGTCTGGAAGCAGTAAGAAATCTTACTACTGAAACAAAATAATCAAACCCATGTCTTGACATTATCCCAAAATGCCTGATTTCTGGTATGATAAATTCAGACATTCTACTCTGACCACAGTGCTCCTTTTCCCAGTACATTTGCTCAGTTATTTTACAACTATTCTTTGACTTCCTCCTTAGAACCTTTGGTCCCTGTCCCTCTACTTGCTCCTACTCACTGGTGTCTTCTGGCCCTTATTTCCCTCCTGATTTTCCTGCTCCATATGCTGCCAACACATTTCTGGCAAAACTTCAACAGGTGAAATCAACAAACTTTCTGCTGCTGCTAGAGAAAACAATACAGCCAAGAGGCCTGGTGGTATTATAAATTTAGGTTCCCTTATCTTAGCAGGGTTCTCAACACTGCCTACCTAAAATGTTCCATAGAAAATTTGCTGTATTTTTCAGTGACTATGTTAAACATTTTCCATCTCTCTCAAAATCTTTAATAATTCTCAGAAAATGGTATCTGCTCTTAACAGAGAAACTATTTCCTACCACCATCAAATCCCCAGGTATAACACTATCCTCACCCATGTTTTCCTCTTTCCTGCCTTAAAAGAGCTATTATTCTATGGCCAATCCTCCTACTTTTGAAACCCACGGCAGCCCCTTCTACCTTACTTCGAAGAGAAACTTGACCTACTTATTTTCCACTTTTCCCTTTACGCTTTCTCTCATTACCAGCTCCCCACAACAGTTTCTTCCACAAAACAAAACAAAAACCCGTCCCTTTCCTCTATTTCTAGCAGTTCCATCTTCTCAATAATTCCTCTTCTTTTTCCACTTCAAAGACAAGCTGTCTAATCCAAGTTACATATACTTGTTTTCTCACCTTCTATTTATTCCCCGAACGGCTCCAATCTGCTTTCTTCCTCCACACTCCACAGAGATTACTTTCACCAAGATCACAAATGACCTTTCTGGCACTAAATCCAAAAAACATTATCCATCCACTTTTTTAAAAAAAATATGTTTTTATTGATTTTAGAGAGAAAAGGAGAGGGATTAAGAGAGAAACATCGATGTGAGAAACATCCATTCGGTTGCCTCCCACACACACCCTGACTGGGGACTGAGCCCGCAACCTGGGCATGTGCCCTGACACAGAATCAAACCAGTGACCTTTCGGTGCACAGGACAGTGCTCACCCAACTGAACCACACTGGCCAGGGCTATCCATCTACTTTTACTCTGCCTACATTCTCAGTGCAATTGGGGAGTTGCCCATACTCATCTTCTAAAAGTTTTCTGCTTCCTTTCACTTCCCTAGAAAGTCCTCTCTTGAGTCTTCTTACCAGATTCTTATATTTCTGTGCCTACCTTTTAAATGGTCCTCATTTAAATTTTCCACTTTCAATTTTCCTGGGGCAATGATGCCCAAATTTAGCCATCTTCTCTTACCTCCAGATACAAGTGACTGCTCACCTGGATGTGTTGCAGGCAATGGAAATTCAGCACAGTTCAAACCAAATTCACCAACCCTGCACCCCTCCACCATCAACAAATCTCTTGTGCCAGTACTTCTTGTATCTGAAGGTATACCACCATGTGCTCAGGCCAAAAACCTAGGGGTAGGAGTGTGTGTGTGTGTGGGGGGGGGGGGGGGTTCC